CTATAGATGCATTCTTTCATGCTTATAGCATTACTTAAAAAGAAATTTATATGCGTCAATAACAGAATATTCTCTTTCGAGATTTGATTAATAAAGGCAGACGTAATTATTTTATTGATAGAAATATATGTATCTACCTATAAATATATTCACTGAGAAGGCAGAGTCAAGAACCAAATTTAACATGAATGAAATTACGTCACTATTTTAATATAGTAAATTGTTTCTTCAATTTAATAACCAATCCTCCAAAAGAAATGCCATATTTTTTTTAATGAATTGTATATATTTAGTAATTAAATAATTGTACTTTTAACATTTTTCATACATACAGAACAATTGTTTTTTATTTTTTTTCAGTAACATTTATTTGTAAAATTAACGAAATATTTCTTCAATTTTAACTATAGAATTTTATTACATAAAAAATTTTAAATAAATTTAAATTATAATTATCAATAGCCATGCACATAAGAACATGTGGCGCATTCCACGTGAGGTTTCCATTCAAATTTTTTTTCAAAAATTTTTATGAAAAATAAGAAAGTACTTATTTTTTTATTTATCAAACTATCAGAGATTAAAAAAAAATTTTCCATTATAGTTACGTTATTTTTTATTATATATTTAAAATAATAAAGAAAAATTGAACAAATTTTAGATACTATATTATTTTTTATCTGTTATTATGACAGAGTAAAACAGGTTTTAAAAGTACACTTTGCTTTTTACGATGTTAAATTTTAAAAAATCATAACTTCCATAATTTTTATCAAATAGAAAAATAAATAAATTTTCGTGAAATTTATAAATTTGAATGCTCACCCTCTAAACATTGAGAAGACATCTTCTGAAAATTTTATACTAATATATGAACAACTATACTATTTGGAATCATTCACAATATACGACTGCTTTGTGCAAGCTTAACACTACATATGAGAGTGATGCGAATTATTTTTATACTATATTACAAAGTGTCTAAACATTTTGTTAAAGAATTTTTAAGTTATGGAAAAAGCTGATAAAATACCGCTACGATAATTAACAAAAAATATAATACATTTTATAATGTTCTATTTAGGTATATACATATATTGCATTATTTTAAATTGCACGCGAAAAGAAGAGATTTAGTTAATGAGACAAAAAGTGTTTAGTAAGGCAAATTACATGGGGAGCTAATAGTAGCGCCATCTATAACATTTTAGTATAGCATACAGTATAATATATTCATTTAGTACAGCTAACAAAATTTTAATAAATTTTTATTAAATTTTACTATATCTATTTAACTCTGATCTGATGTTGATTGGGTAGATTTGCTGGCTCTTAAAAATTGAAAATAAATATTTTATCAATTAGAACATCATTTTCTATTGTCAGGGTAACAAATTCTGAGTAAAAATAACATCGATTAATTAAATTAGGCCCCAAAATTATTTATTTATTTAACATGATACCTGTTTTAATGAATTTTTATTAAGTACAATTTCAATATAATTTTCTTTCAGATGAATTTTCATTTGCCCGAAATTGCAAATGGCCAAACAAACAATCGACAGAAAGATTTTGGCGCGATTTTTAAAATCAACCAATCAAAAATTATCAATAAACTTTTGATTGGTTACTTTTAAAAATCGCGCCGACATCATTCTGCCGATTGTTTGTTCGGCTATTTGCAATTTCGGACATATGAAAATTCAATCAATTAGAAATTCTTTTAAATGATTTTTCGGTTAAGTATAAATTTTGTAGTATGAAAAATAGGTTATATAGAAATTATATTAAATAATATTTCGAAGAAATAAAATTTTGCTCAATGAAAATTATTTCTAATGAAATTCTATTAAATGAAAATTCTAACAATATTGATGTTTAGAACTTATATTCATGCGTTCTAAAAATTAAAAGTAAATATTTTATCAATTAGAATAACATTTTTTACGGTGCAACAATTTCTGACAAAATAGATAATTATGAATAATTTAATTAGATCCCGAAATCAATTAAATCTATTAAGAAAAAAAACATTTATCTGATGGTAAAAGGGTGGTTCCCTTAAAAATTAAAAATTTAAAAATTTTAAAAATTAAAAATACTTATCTATCGAGTGAAACGATTTAAAACATAATTTGAAGTATTCACGCTAGATGACATCTCGATTTCAATTGACCGTAAAACGTTCATATACAATTCAAAAAGTCTATTCCTATAAGTGTTTTTTAATGTTTGTTTAGGTAAAATGCATTTATACATTACTATTATTATTATTAATTAATTAACTATTAAATAATAAAGAATAATTCTCATTATTAAGTATTAATAGTTAAATAAAAGAAACTGTGTTATAATCAATATTAAATATTGATAATTAAAAGTAATATATGAATGAAATTTAGAACAAATGTGATATGTTTAACATTCATATATAAAGAGGGGGAAAACACGTTGACATCACGTGAACACACATTTCCCAGGTCAGTCCTCTTCCTTCTCAAATATATTATATATTACTTATTAAATTGCTAAAAATATCGTTATCTAATTTCTTTTTATATTTAAAATCATTTTTATGTCATTAAAAATCCCCACACAATATGCTTTTTTCAAAATGAAAATACCACCACATTATTTCTTCTCAGCTAAAATTAAATATTGCAATATTTTTTATTGGAATTAAAAAAAAATACACACATTTTTATCGTAAAAAAAATTGTGAATTAGACTTTCAGACGATGACCGTTTATTTATTTAACAAACATTGTTACACTTAATTTTCCTGATATGGGGGCAAATAAAACAAATTTTTTATAATAAAGAAGAAAAAGTAAAATACTTTGTTCTTATTTTTTCAGTTATTAAATATTTATAAAATTTTATACAAGTATATTTTTATTTACAATTTATTATTTAAATATATTGTAAATATAAATAAAACTAATTATAAATTATAATTAAATTTAGATTTATAACATTATAAAAATTTTTGTTAATTAAATGTTAATATTAGTGAGTTTAAGAAAATCAATGACTGTATGGAGAAACGCGAAATTCATGACTCTGTGGAAAATAACTGTGCAATTATTGGCGCACGCGCTATTCGTTTCAGCTTCCTTTGCAGAAATATTTCGGCAACAAAAATTGTTGGAAGGTTATCATATCAGCTTTAATCCTGTGATTATTTGACTCAACAACTCATGAAAATTTAACTAAATTTATTTTTTCAAAAAAATTTGTTCAAAAACTAATAACACGAAATTTTTTTTAGCAAAAAGTGAATTTTTTTAGGATTGAAATTTTGTACATATTAATTTAATTTCAATTTATTTTGTAATTTTCAAGTGTTTTTTTCATTGAATCGAAAATTTTTTACTTTTGCAGTGTGTGAAATTTTTTTTTTTTAGTTTTGTGTGCAAGTTTTATAAATATTGCAAATTTTTGTTATTAATTAACTGTAAAATTTTGCAAAATGAGCAAAAAGGAGTTCTTCTTTCAAAATAATTTACAAATAGATCGATTAAAACGTTCATACATTGGTGAGTCGTAAATTTTACGTTGAACATTAATATTTTATAAAAAAATATACATTTTCTTCAAAAATTTATAGCTTTTATTTTATTAATTTATTAATAATTATATATGTTATATTAATAATAATTAATATTGATTTTAAAATAAATTTTATTGTTTTGTATTTTAATGAAACAAATGAATTCACACAACATTTATAATAATTAATGTTCATCATATATACAAAGTTTGCGCGAGCAATGTGAGAAAAATTTCTGCACATGTCTTATAATATTTCAAAAAAAAGAAAAAATCTCGATATCAAACAAGAGAAAAAAGTGTTATCAAAATGTAATTTTCTTGAGATAAAGACGTAAACAGGATATATACGTCTTTTAAATACATGAATTAAACGGTTTTAGATAATTTGTAGAGCAGAGGTTATATTTGAAATTTATACGGTAAATGAGATTTATTTTTAAAAAATATTATTATTATTATTATTAAAGAAAATTTGATTCCCATTTGATTACTTGGTGTTAAAAAAATTATGAATTTTGATTGTGCAATTTAAGATTTACCCAATTGCATTAATGCTGTCCTTTCAGTTTTGTTTGCGCATCGTTTTTATATTGATTTTTGATTCTCATAACGGTAGGACAGCATTTATCCAATTGGATGTTTTTAAGGTTATATTTTCAAGAAAACTGCATTAATTTTTAAAAAAATTTAATTTAAATTTAATTAATAATAACTTATAGTAAAACAACAGTACGTTGCGAATGGAGAGAAAAAAAATTGTCACAAACACACCTCGCATGTGTTACTAAACTTAGAATCAAAATAACGTTCCTGCGATTATCTCACAACCGGTATTATATACACGAGCACGTGTTGTCTGAATGATCAATTTTTTTTTCCCCTCGACAAGGTAGTCTATATTTGCTGGTAAAGAAGGGGACTTTTACGACAGAGAAGGACAGACAGTCGATGCAAAAGTAGGAGAGAGTGATAAACAGAAAAAGAGGCAAAGAAGTGATGAAGAAAGAGCGAATAGGACAGACAGACAGAGTGAGAGGAGAGTCTTGAATTGAAACGTTCACAAGGGGGAGAAAAAGATAGTAGAATGAGAAGGAATGAGTCTTATGTATAGTATATTTTCGATGAGGGGAAACAGCGCCACTCCTCGGAATTAAAATACAGTCGTCTCTGCAATACGCTTCCATTTGGATGTGTTTATATTAATAAATGTGCGGAAGGCGCCGAAAAAAATAATTTCAAATATTATTTCCTTTTTATTGTTAAAAAGAAGAAAATCTTTCTTTTGTATAATTTAATTTTTATTTCTACACTATATTAATTGACTTTTGTTTTCACTATTGTGAGAAAAAAGTGCATTAAGTGTGTGAATTTTTGACTGCTTCTTTGTGGGTAAAGAAGAACACCATTTTGAATTGTTTACATTTGTTTTCTTTTTCCCGGCTAAACAATATAATTTTTATTTAGCTATTTTTTATAATTTGGTAATTCTTCTTTCATTTTGCAATGTACTATTATCGTATATGAAATTTATACGTATATGTTAAAGTGATTATTGCGAAAATTTATGACTTTTTAACTTATTTATTTTTTTTTAATTTTTTCTCCTGAAGAACAATTGTTTTCGGACTATGGTACCTGCTGACAATTGTCGTTGGATTTACACAATGTACGGTTTAGAGAAACCAATGGATCATATTTCCGGTAGTTAAATTAACAATTTCTCTTTTCTATTTTTATTCCATATACTGAGTTATAAATAGCGAAAAAATTTACACCGCATAGTTAACCATTTAAAAATAAATTTTATATTTATTTCCTATTTTAAAATTTGATTTTTATTTTTTTTATATATGTTTAATTTTTTTATAAAAAATAGTTTTTGAAATAATTTAGTTTCTTTGAAAAAAAGAATTGTTTGCTTCTTGATATAAAGTTTTTTTTTCTATTACATATTGAGGGTTTTTTTTTATATTTTGTTTTTTAAACATAAAAAAGAGAAGACGATCCCGTCGACCTAAATTTATACAATAATATTGATCGTCTGTGTGTCCTCACTACTTTCTAGAATCTAGAGCGCGAATCTCCCTCTAATCGTATTATCTTGTGAAAATTATCACTCTTCATTTTACGTTTTCTATCCGTTTGAAAATTCACATTTTTTTTCTCAGCTAAAATTTTTTTTTTGTCATGCAAGAAAAAATTTATTTAAATAATAATAATCTATTTATTTAAATAAAAATCTATTTTTTCAAATAATAAATAAATTAAAAATAATCAAAATTCGTTTAGAAAAAAACTTAAATTCAGTCGGTAAATTTATTCTTTTTGATTTTGAACATTTGTCTATTCCGTCGATAATTTAGTTATTATACAATATTTCAAAACTATAATAGAACAATTATTATTATTAACTATCAAGTAATAATCACTTACAAATAATTAATTATTTTAATAGTTAACTAATTTAAAAAACCAATTTAATTAAAAAATTAATTAATTTAAAAAAGATTAACTAATCACATATTTATATTGATAAATAAAATAATAATAACTATTATTAGAGATTATTAACTTATGGATTATTATTAATTAATTAATTATTATCGGCGCATTATTTACTGTTATTTTGCGTAACAATTGTTTTAATTTCAAAAAATTTGAAATTTGCTGTTTTGATATATAATATATTTACGATAAAATGATTATTATTTAATTTTATACTTATGCACAGTGATAAATATATTATCATCACGTGGTTCTTGAAACATCAAAGCGAGGATCTATAATGAAACGAAATTTACGACTGTTCTCAATCATATTATCCCCACTATTACGCTTCCCTGACCAGAATAACTTCCTAAAGCGCTTAAATATATATATATACATATATAAAAGTACACATATAAGTCACGTAAAAAAAAATAATGGTAATTTTCCATTGGACACCTCTCAATAATCTTTTTCTTTCTCTATACCCATTTCTTATACATATAATATTATTTTAATTCTTTTATTTAAAGATCATTTTTTTATGAATTATTTTCATTCGAATAATTATTAACAAATAATATAGAGTAGAACTTTGGGATTTTTTTTCTTTCTCTGAATTACTCACACTTGTCTGAGAATATAATTTAAATGTAAATATAAAAATTAATTTGAATTTCCTTGAAAAAAAGTTTTTTGAAATCTTTAAATATGTAAAAAATAATACGCAGTAGATGATAATTGTTAATAATTAACATATACATATTTTAAATTGTTAAAAAACAGATTTTTATTTATAATTAGTTATTAATTAATTGTTATTTAATGAGTATTTAATTATTATTTATTACTATTAATTATTACTAATTTAATTAATAATCAATAATTATTACTAATTATACCTACATTAATGAATATTAAATTAATAAAAATGTTATTTTTTTTAACACAATTTAATATAATTTCTATAATGTGATTCGACGAAAAAGAATTTCCCGCATCTACTAATGATGATTAATATAATTTATTTATGTTTATATTTGAAGATATGTAAGATGCATTTCCGGTTCTCTTTGTTTGATTATGACTTCTCGAAAATTATTAACATTTTATATTTTCCAGGAAAAATTAGTTTTCCATCTCAATTCTATGATTGTGATAAATGTTTTATTTATATGTATACAAAAAATAATTTCAAATAAAATTTGAAATTTATTTGTTTAGAAGAATTATTTTCATAAATACCAATATAATGAAATTTAATTCTTTTTATCGCTCAAATAATTTCTAGGGCTAGAATTATAAAAAAATTTACAGTCGTAAATAATTATAATTTTAGCTGGTTATAATTTTATTTAATTGATTAATTAATTTTTTTAATATTAATTGTATTTTTACAATATGGTAGTTTTAATCAATGGTACTTTTATTGTAATGGTTACTTTTGAGAACTAATATCCAAACAATAATAATTTACTAGTTTTTATTTTCATTTTTTTCACACATCAATTTTAAATTTCTAAATTTATACCCAAGAAAAATATAAATTATACGACGGAGTAGCTAATGTAAAGAAACTGTTAATTTTACTCAATTATTGCTGTCTATAATTTTATATGTCTTATTTTTAGTTACTGTTTGTTTAACAAATTAGTGTAGTAAAAAAAGTCGTCTGATTTTATTATTGATCACGTGAATTAATAAAAAAAATTTTACAATATTTACTGCTTGATAAGAATAGCTTATTATTATTAATAAATATTTTTCAAATTAAGCGCAGTAATATTGGAAAAAAAAAATTTTACATTATCTATGTAGCATATAAATTTTTTTTTCTTCTTTTGACAAAATTGCAACTTTATCATTTTACAACTACAGATCAAATTTGATAAGACACATATATCGCGTACATGTATGAAAATTGTATTTAATTCTATATATTGAAGTTTATAAAATTCCAAATCTAATATCATATAAATTGTATTATTTTATAGATCTAGATGAGTTTTGCATAACTGATAAGATGTCTATGAAAAACAAAAATAGAAAATACTTTTGACATCTTTTCCAATGATTATGATAATGTAAAGATAAAATATAGACGATAAAACGGATAAATAACAGATTATAAAGTAATTATAGTCATATTTAATATAAATTTTGCAATTGTTTTTCAATATAATATATTTATACACGTGATTTGTAACAGAGTTTATTTTTTAACAAAAATTGATTTTCTAATAAATAATTATTTTAATGAAATGTAAATATGTTTATTTGTTTTATTGAAAATAAAGAAAATCTTTGAGTAAAATCAATCGATTTGGAAATCTAGGTCAAAGGTAATTTGATATGCGTTCTTGAAAATATCTTGTAACGAATACGTATTGATAAATTTTTTTGTTATTTCTTCTAAGCACAAATGTTGCTTATCCCCCATCGCACACATGTGCGATAAATGATTCATGAGTTGCGGTGATGTGATGATATATAAAATAGGCGTAAAAAGCGCAGTTTAGGTTCTTTACTCATCATTTCAATTTTTACAGCCGGAGGAGTCATGGCTGGGTCAGTTGCCACTTTGGCAGTGCTTTGGATTTTTCTGCAAACATTAGGATTTATAGGAAATAGCCATTCAGTGGGCGTTTATAAATTGCCAAAAACATTTCAAAATGATCTTCCCGTTTATTCGAGTGAGTTTTCTCTATTTTCATTTATTTTATGTTTTCGTATTTATTTTACTATGGCTGATGTTGTTCTTTAATTTCAATTTGATTCTTTCAAATTTTTCTGATTCTTACTAATTCCTTCTAATTATTTTTTTTTAATTCTCCCTAATTCCTTTTTTAATTCATTATTTTCACAGAAAAAAGCTGATGTTATTTTTGTTGCGGGTAATTTTCTCCAATGCTAAAATCCATAAGATTTAACCCAGATTTAGGGTACAATTTTTTGCGTGTTATTTTAACACCAATTCTGGTGTTAAAATAACACTTTGTTTTTCCTGTGTTCAAAATTATTTTTTCTATTATTAACTTTTTATAATTTAAAAATCAATGTCCCAAATATGACATATTTTTTTTTATAATAAATTGATTAAATTATTTTAAAGATCTCGTGGGATTTGATCATCAGCTTGCGGAGAAAATTGTTTTGGGAAATTTTGAGAAGAGAAAGTGGCCAAAAATTGAGGATAATGCATTAAATGAATCAATTGCATTTGCCGATCGAATGATTAAATTTAGAAGTCGATTTGAGACAAATTTAATTAATTCTGGAATTAGTCTTTCAAAATCAACACCAAGTCACAGTCAATATGTTTATTCATATCCAAGTGAGGATGCATTTGAAAAATCAAATGACGCTATTATTGCCGCCAAGGCTTCATCATATCTCGTACAAGATAACTGTGGAAGGTATTGTACAATTTCCATACATATATATAGTTTATGTCTCTTGGTGTCATAAAACAGAAAATTGAAATATTTATTCAGAAGGTTTTTCATTTTTTTTTTTTTTTTTTATTATTACTTCTAATCTTTTGAAACAAGTATAATGGTCCATTCCGTCATTTTGAAAACATTTATTCTTTGTGAATATCTAATCAGTGTGAGATCATGTTTTTTTGTTTTGCAAAATTGAAAAAATAATAATTGCCTTTGATTGTAGTTAAATTATGTTTATTATACGTTTTTCGAGTTGCTAATAAGTCTCGGGAGGCAAAGAGGAGTAAAACTCGGTTGCGCACCACTTACGCGCACTGTTTTATGCTGACAGCCAATAGCGAGCGCGCATCCCCACTCTCGCGAGTTTTCGAGTATAAGAGCCGACTCGCCGAGCATCTCGCCTCATTCAAGTGGCAATGCTGCTTAGAATAAGAGCTCTGTAAATGACAGTTTTTTGTTCGTTTCAGCTATTCAAAAAAAACATGATCTGACATCTAAGCCTGAAAAACAATGGTTTTTTATGTGGCTCTCTATAATTGATTGAAAATTATTGTAATGATTTTTACATAAATATTTCTTTTACCAGATTTGGACTTGGTATCAGGGAGTGTGCACAATTTATTTCAACTATAAAATTAGATGGTACACTGTTGAATAATGCATGTGGGAATAATCAACAATCTCATTGTACACCAAATTCGCGATACAGATCAATTGATGGGAGTTGCAATAATTTGGAAAATCCCAAACTTGGTTGCGCTATGACAGCGTACACGAGGCTTCTCTTTCCAAATTATGATGATGGTAAATGTGATTTTTCACTTTTAAATTAATCTTCAATAACTTGTCTCATTTTTAATCACAAATTTTATATTCCAAAAAAATTCATTTTTCAGTGTTTCTACTTTTTTTAAATTTTTTCTCTCTCAATTTTTTTTACCAAATTTTTTCATTTCTTTCATTCATTATTTCATTACATTTCTATTTATTAATTTCATTTTTATTCAATAAGTTATTTTTTATTTTAGTTTTTACAATTTTCACCTGTTTAATGTTTGTCCAACTTGCACTGACGAACGAACGAAAACTGAAAAAGTTATAATATTGCGTATTTTATAGGCAGGCGCGGATGTAAAAAAAACAGTTCTGGATTTTTTTTTTTATTAAAAATAATAAAGTTAAAATTAATCGTCATCTTTTAATATAAATATAAACAATAATTTTTATTTTGAATAAATATTAATAAAATAAAAAAATTCAATAATATTAGTAGGTAACAGAAAATATTTGTGAATAAAAAAAATCCGGGACTGCAAAAAAAGATCATCTAAACTGTATAATCGGGATAGGAACGAATCACTTTATTAGCGCGTGTCAAACATGGAAGGGACATTTACTGATGGGATTAAATTAGGTACAATGTCAACGAATCAATTTAAAATTGTAAGCTCAGACTGATAGCGTCTATTTACAATGGGATAAAAATCTAATAAAATTAGGGAGATTTATTATATTTCCTCGGTAAATAAAAATTATGTAATATCATTTAGCTACATTTTTAACACAATGAATATAAATCAGTAAAATTAATTTCAGTAACAAATTTATAATTTTTATAAATAAATTAAATTTAATTATTAATTACTACAATCTTTCTGTAGAAATCGGTAACAAAAAAAGAAAATTCGGTTTTCTTAAAATCTAATTGGATTTGTGCATATTTTATAACGCGTGACAATATTGTCGACGTGAATAAAAAAAAACGCACATTGTTTTTGTAAAAATTTTAGTTTCTTGTGTACTACTTTTCTGATAAATATTAATCGTTCCATTATTTCCAGCCTCTGAACGTTTGGCGCTTCCCCTTTAAATCCCATTCCCTATTTTTTAATTTATCTAGAAATGTAATTTTTTTCTTAATTATCAATAAAAATAAAATAATTTTTAATAATTTTACAAATAAATTAAAGTTTTTTTTTAAAATTGAAATATTTTTTTTAAAGTTAAGAAAAATGAGAATCCTTAATGACCAAAAAAACCTGTAGCGCTGGTGGATAAACGTTCGCCAATTGGCTTTTAAAAAATTTATTCTGTGATTTGCATTACAGTTTGTGCGATAAGGCACATAGTAGCAGTGAAAAAAAACTGCCTACTATAGAGTGACCCAGTTCGGGAGATTCTATCCAGCAATAGAAGTGTATGTAATTTAATTCGGATATTCCTATAATATTGTATCATAAATATATTTATATAATTATTATTTACACATGTGTAAACAATTTGTCCATTTTTGTGCGATATACGCGTCTCGGCTGGTTTTATTTGAAAGCGAAACAAAATTTAGAAGTTCTTCCGGTCTTTTTTTAATAAACGTAAAAAAAATCAATTAATAATTTTATTAATAATCTATAATATATAGTTCAGTTTATACAAACCTTTTTTTACATGTGAAATTTCCCTTTAAGGAATTATAAACAAGTTCAAATTGGTTTTACACAATTCCCAACTAGTTCAGAACAAGTTTCCAAATTTATTTCATTGTTCGCATCAATAATTATATTAGTTTTTAATGAATTAATGGAATTTTTTAAATAGATTTTTATAAAAATTTTCAATTATAATAATTTTCTCACAGTAAAATTTGGTTTGTATTTTCAACTTTTTTTTTAATATTCAGTAACTAATTATCAGTAGGAAACTAATTTTGAATTTTATTATTTAAAAAAAATATACTTTAAAAAATATTGACCTTCTACTTTCGTATCGCTTACTTCATTATTTATTTCTAAGTTTATCACAAACAATTCCTCAATTTTAAACCATTTTTGAAATAAAATTTTAATATTAACAATATAATTCATTTTTAGTGCTATTAATTTTTATTTTCAATTTTATATTAATAATTAGTCAATTAATTAAAATCAATTATTATAATTAATCAAATTTTTTTTAGTTCTGTTCTATAATATTGAATTGTTAATAAAAACAATTGGTAATGTTTTAAAATTGTGGAATGTAGACACGTTTTTTTCTACTGTAGCGCGAGAGTTTTTTTTTCATCTATGCGGATTATTCTAAATATTGAAAAGTTGCAATATAATAATTCTCAATTGAATTTTTCATTTAATGTCTTTGTAAATCATATTTATAAATTAGAAAACAAGCTTACAATGCATTATAAATGATTTTTAAAATGGCTTTTCAATATTTAGTGCGTATTTTACGAATCAGGAAATAGGAGCGATAGGAAATCTAGTCTTAGATGCTAAAACACCATTCAATCGATTCATTTCCCTTTATATCATTAACATTACTCTCGCGCTACATTAGACATTTCATTAAATCGGAGTATTCAATTTGATTTTTAATTTAATTTCCATAATTCAAAGAAATTAATAATTACAAATCAAAAGATAAATTAAAAATGTTTGTTACTATTAAAAATTGACACCTTCTTTCTTTAATAAAAAAAATTGTTCAAAAGTAAACTCCGATTTGATTAAAAAAAAATAGAAACAATTTGTTTTGTATGATATATAACTGATTTTTTTGGCGCCTAGGCATTCAAAATCCAAGACAATCGGGACTTCCTAATCCAAGATTGGTTAGTTCAAAACTGTCAACTCCAAGTGACCAATCAGATGTTTTGAGAACTTTGGTTGTCATGCAGTGGAGTGATTTTATTCTTCATGACTTGGCACATACTCCAGTTCGAAAAATGAGTAAGTGACAGATATAATTAATTCGCCCTCTCAATCGAAAACAAAATTTATTACTCGGACCGTTAATTTGACGTTTTTTTATCTTCACGGCGAGAGAAAAGAAAGAGATCTTAATTTTAACAGAGCATCCGCTTCTCAACGGCGTCGCCGTCTGGATGAGGCGAGATGCTCGGCGAGTCGGCTTTTATTCTCGAATCAGCGCGAGAGTGGGGATGCGCACTCGCCATTGGCTGGCGGGTGATGCCACTCTCATCAAGCTATGCGCGTCGGTATTGCGCAAACGGTTTCTTCGCCTTTCGAGAGTCCCTAACAAAAAAAAAAAAAAATTGTTACATAACTAATTAATATTAATATGTTTTTAGTTTCAAATGGAATGCCAATATCTTGCTGCAAGGAAGATGGTAACACGTTACTACCCCGTCATATTCATCCCGACTGCAGTGCAATTCCAATTGAGGATCATGATCCAATTTATTCTAGTCATTCAATTCGTTGTATGAATTACGTTAGGTCTCTTCCTGTCATTAGATCAGACTGCAGTTTTGGCCCACTTGAACAAGTAGGTCTTTAATTTAAAAAAAACACATAACTCTAAAATCCTCCTAACTTTTAGTATCTTATTTATTCTCGCTAAACATTTTTTTGTACTTCTTGTACAGATGAATCAAGTAAGTCACTTTTTGGATGGTTCCACAATTTATGGTTCGACACTGGAAAGATCGGAAAGACTTCGAACTTTTCAAGGAGGTCTACTTCGAGTTGATGTGGAAAATAATCGAGAGTACTTGCCAACTGCTGATTCGGAACCATTCACTCTATGCTTGACACCCAAATGTTATCTTTCCGGTAGGAAAAAAATTTAATTTCATAAATCCTACACCTAATTAGTTATTTTTAAATTCGTTTCTTATTTTTTAACTATTTCTTGTGTTTAAAAATCGATAGGCGATGATCGTGTGAACGTCGAGCCCTCATTAGCGGTGATGCATACAATTTGGCACCGTGAGCATAATCGTATTGCAAAAAAATTGTCGGAAATAAATCCATCCTGGTCGGATGAAATTTTATATCAAGAAGCAAGAAAAATAGTTGTAGCTGAAATTCAACATATTACTTACAATGAATGGCTGACAATTATCCTGGGTAAAAATTATGCTCGCGATTTTGGACTTCTGATGGATGGTAGTCAAAATTATAATTCCAATGAGGATCCGGCAGTTGCCAATGAGGTAGCAACTGCAGCTTTGCAGTTTCAAAAATCTCTCAAACAAAGTTACTTGAGGTTAGTAATAATAAGTAATTATTTTGGGTTTATATTCGCCTCTAGAAATTCGTGTAACATAAATTGATACTATTACTACTTCCAGAATTATGGATGAAAATCAAGGATTTAATAAATCGATTCACCTTTGTGATAATTACTATAAACCAGAAATAATCGAAAAAGACAATACATTTGATGGAATTATCAAAAGTCTAACAACTGAAACCTCACAAATGATGGACGTTAACATGATTCCTGATGTGAGTTTTATTTAACATTAAAATACTAATTTTGTTTAATTACTTCTTTATAGAATTATTCTTATTAATTATTTTAATTACTGATTAAATCGTAGGTGACTCATCAGTTATTTAAAACAAATGGGGAATTGGGTTTGGATGCTGTGAGTCTTGACATTCAACGAGGTCGAGATCATGGACTACCTGGATACAATTATTATCGTAATTATTGTGGATTACCTGCTGTTAGAAAGTTTGATGATTTCAAGGTTCGTTTCTTTTTATAATTAACTTGAACCAGATAGATAATTATTAATTAATTTAATTTTCATGAGTTTTACCACAACCCTCATGTGTTGAAATAACAAATAAATGAACTAATCTCATGTTTATTAATTGTATAATTAATTTTATATAATAATTATATTGATTTGATTATTAGCAAATGGGGAATAAACTTCGGGAACTTTATAATTCTCCTGATGATGTGGACCTCATTATTGGAGGAATGATAGAAAAACCAGAAGATGAAGAAGAGGGCATTTTAGGACCAACATTCCGTTGTTTGATTGCTGAACAATTTGCAAGAACAAGACGCGCTGACAGATATTTTTACGATTCTGCCAGTCAACCTTATCCATTTACAGAAGGTAGTAAATGGTTACAATCCTAATTAACCCAACATATCTAACCAATAGCTTCCTTTTGTAATTATTGCATTATTTTACAGATCAATTAAACAATATCCGAAATGTAACATTGGCAAGGATTTTCTGTGACAACAGTGATAATATTTCCAAAATTCAACGTAATGTTTTTCTCAAATCCAAATCTGGGTGAGTAATATTTTCATTTTTTCTTTCAGAACTTAATTATTTAAAAACATAATTAAATTTACAATGTAAATTACATTGACAAATATTAAGAGAATACAAATTTTAAATTTCAGAAACGAATTGAGATTCTGTAATGACTTTGAAGCGATTCCAAGCGTCGATTTGTTTGCTTGGGCGGAAAAAGCAAAGGCATATCGTTGAAAATTTTATTAATTGGCTGGTCACTATTTTCACTGGATCAAAACTCCTGAGAGCCGTTTGAAGTCAGGGCCAAAAAAAGGTGGAGAGAAATCAGGATACTTGTCGAACAGTACAAGAAACATAAGAGAAAAAAAATAAGAATGTGGTGACAAAGTCAAAATTAAAGAGTACAACGTTACATCTTTAATGCGTGCAACATCCACTAACAAATTATTAAGAATACGTGACTAGTCGATTAGAAAATATAGGGACGATTTTTTAAAAATAAAATAAACAGTCTCGAAAGCGAATGATATATAAACTATATATAAATAGATATAGAAGTCTTTAAACGCTCGCTCGCTCGATTTCTAAAACTTCTCAAATTATACGCATTTGAAAAAATTGTTTAAAAAAATACAACGAAATGGAAATTTTACTTTGGAAAAAAATGGAGTTTACTGATTTAAAAAAAAAATTTCTTAAATTTGAAAAAATGAGCAAATTTCTTTGCACTTTTAAAGAATAAGGGGAATTTTAAAAATGAAAAAAATGTTTAAAACTATAGTATATAAAAATTCTGCCAGTACAAAAAGTCTGAATTTTCAATATTCACTTCTCGTTTTTTTTTAAAGATTAAGATGAGAAGTTGTTGAAAAAATAAAAATTCCTTATTTTTCCATTGAATTTTATGAACATTATTTTTTTTACTATTAAATAATAAATAATAATTCCTATTTTATTAATAGAGTTTATGTTTAAAACAAAGAAAATACAATTTACGTAAAAACTTTTTTAGAATTTATGAAATAAAAAAAAGAAGTATCTTATTTTAAGATGTTTTGATGTCATCAAAACGATACCAAAACATCTTAAAATAAGATACTTCTTTTCTCAGTGTACGAATGCTCAATAAGTTATTATTATATATATAATAATAAAATATAATATAATTGTAACAATTATAATTAATTATTAATATTTTAATTATATACATATGATTTAATTTTATAAGTTATAATTTTTGATATATAAGTAAAAAAATTAGGCATAATAACAATAATAATAAAAATACTTCAATACTGTTCCGCAGTACATAAAACGTGACTGATTAGATTTAGCATTATCATCGATTGTTTTTGTACTTGATAATAGGATATAATAGTACTTAATACGTATGCAATTTGCCGATTCAAGTTTTGAGCTTAAATGTTATTTCTCAGACATTGAGAGAAAGAGAGAGAGAGAGAGAGAGAAAATCGCAATAATGCGTTGCACTATTTGCTGAATAAAGAACTCGGAAAATACCTCCTAATGCATGGCTTTCATTTCAATGATACATAATGACCTTTCCTTTCCCTTTATATGGTTAAGGCCGCGCGAGAATTTCAATGTTTCATTGGACTCCCTGAGAAAACGGGGACCGACATTTTTTTTCTATATTTACATCCATATGTACATATATATAAATGCAAAGATACGTATAAATGATACTTATCAAATATACCACGATATATGAAGAGAGATATCATATATCGCAAATAGTAACCTTGACTGTATAACGGCAAAATTACATTTCACATTTTCTCATATTAGATGAGCCTCTTATTTGAGAATTAAATCTGTTGTAAAGAATTAGATCGGAACTCGGCAAAATATATTCTGGAGAATCAACTTTATAATGGTAAATTGGAGAATGTTTCGAGAGGAAATGATTCACAATATAATTTGGAGAATTAGTTTCCGTATTACAATATCAATTTCTACGTATTGTCGAATGAAAGTTATATTTAATTAGACAATAATCATCATATTTTGTATAGTCTTAACAATTTATACTTTTTTGTGTTTCGAAATGAAACTTAAACTTATTTCTTTCTTTTTTCATGAGATTTTATTTGCCAAAACACTATTCAAAATCAGTGTCAAATTGTTTTCACTTGTTCAAAACTGTCAAAAACTAGTTTGAAATTGTTTAAATTGTTCGAAACTGTTCAAAACCAGTTTGAAAATGTTTTAATTTTAAACTAATTTGTACATCCTAAAATTATTTTTAAAAATTTGAAATCCAGAACTAATATTTCGAAAAATTAATTTCGGCATTTTCTAACAAACATCATTCGAAAAAATTAAATTTCATATATACTTTCATATATAGTTGAACAGACTTAAATTAAAATTAATTAATTAATTTTTCGCAATATAGAAAAGTTCAACTTCCTTGTTTGGCGATCCAATTTTTTTTTAAATAATTCGTATCGCCAACACGATTTCGCCTCCAATTTTCGAATAAATTACATAATTTTCTTTAATTTAACTTTCGCTGAAATTTTTTTCACAATATTATTATATTGTTTTTATTTTTAATAAATATCATTTTTTTCCACTCTCATTAATAAAACTATAAGAACACACACGAAAAAATAACATAATTCACTTTTATCGAATCCAAGCACAATTTCCGCTCGCATTTATAGAAAGTACGTAACTTCAAACGTAAACTAGATAAAAGTTATGTGGAATACGAATGAGATCCGTTCATCGTGTGTTTGTGATGAATAAACCATTTCCTGCGTTAGTAACTTAATCGTGAGTTGTACTTTCGGAATTAAAATCGAGAAACGATTTTATTGAAGAATTCATATATATATATATAAATGTATTTAATCTCATGCAATGAAGCGAGTCAAGAAAAAAAATTTTGTGGATATAAATATAGAAATCACTCTCGATTGGTATATATAATAATTCAACAATAAATGCCTCGATCAATCGAATAGATTTCACTAAATGGGTCTTTAACGAGTGATTGAGAAGTTGTTTAACAATCATTTTCTAAAATACAAATTATATGCAAAACTGTCTGAGAAAGAGAGACATATAAATTACAGGGAAGCGGATTGATCAATTGAGTCGGTAACATTTATAATTCACGAACATTTTTGAGATTGTTGAGAGAGATTCATTCAACGAGATAACAATGATTTACGAACTTTATTATGTTTGAATTAATAATTAATTTCATTTTTTTAAATTTATTTATTATTGCAAATATTTCTTCATTTTTAAGTAAACTATAGTTTACATTTTTAAATCAATTATTTCATACCTTCATGAAATAAATTTTACAATCAATCATATATATAAATACATATAGAAAGCTATGAAAATAATGGATATAAGAAGAAAATGCAATTTTTCTATTACCTAAACCAAAATATGAAAATCACTGTATAATTTTCTCAAATTTTTTTTTAATTTATATATTTATAAAAGAGCTGACAATTGTAACGCAGGGCAAATAGAGTTAGATAATAATGCAATAACAATTTCCGTTATTATTAAATAATCAATAAATCGAAGCCGAAAAGTGAAGGGGTGATATTAAATTTCGAAAGAATATTTTATATACTTATTATGAACAGAATCCTGTTGTACATTATTCAATTTATGACACTAAATTTCATCTAAATAGTAACGCTGAAAATGCCATGAGCAAAATGCATTCCACAAATGAGACACTCGAATTGTTCCAATTATTATTATTATTACTATTATTATTTCAATACTCAAGACTTTACTAGAAAATAGATATCCTCGATATAGAATTACTATTATTTACTTTCTTGTAGATTCATTTTCTATGAGAAGAAATGCATACATATATATATAAAATATTTTTATGATTAATTTTCCGTCAAACTTGATGATGCTGATGCTGCAGCTAAAGAACCTATATTCAAAAAAATAATAATAACATAATCACTGCATGTATGTTATAGCTTTTAAATATAAAATACAATTTTACGTTGGGACATCAAATTTCTCAATAAAACTCAGAAGAAATTTTAGTAGTAAATAAATATAACATTAATTGTTGAAAGTGAACAAGGCAAAAAAGAAAAAAATTAAAAAATTACCGGCTTTTGTATTATAATTTTACATACTTGAAAGAAAAACATATTTTATAAACGATTTGAAAGTTAAAATAATTCATTTTGTAGATACTTATAATGACCACCGTTTACAAAAGTTTGAATAAAAATTAAAACAGTAATAAGACAAATTCAATAACAAATATATTAATTATCAATCCCACATCCATAATACATATAGCAAAGTATCGAAAAAGAAATGAATAGCACACTTTACAATTGGTCCAGTTTGTGCTGAGCTACACTAAACTAAGGTTCGGAAAATTTTCGAAAAATTAAATTTGCGAAATTATCTGTTGAAAATACCGCCCATAAAAAAGTCAAAAAGTTCCGAACAAAAAATGTATGGCGCACTTTTTGATTGGTCCAGCGGATGCTGAGCTACACTCAAATAAATTTATGAAAAATTTTCGAAAAATTAAATTTTCGAGATAATCGTTCAGTAATACCGCCAAAGTCTTTAGCAAAAAGTAGCGAACAAAAAATGAATGGCGCACTTTTTGATTGGTCCAGCGGATGCTGCGCTACAGTAAAAATCAAATTTGGAAAAAATTACAAAAAATTAAATTTGCGAGATTATCGGTTAGGAATACCGCCAATAAATCAGTCAAAAAGTTCCGCACAAAAAATGTATGGCGCACTTTTTGATTGGTCCAGTGGATGCTGAGCTACACTCAGATAAATTTTTTAAAAAATTTCGGAAAATTAAATTTGCCAGATAATCATTCGGGAATATTGCGAAAAAATAGGGAAAAAGTTTCGAACAAAAAATGTATGGCGCACTTTTTAATTGGTCCAGCGCATGCTGAGCTACACTCAAATAAATTTTGGAAAAATTTTCGGAAAATTAAATTTGAGAGATAATCTCTTGGGAATAATGCCAAAAAAATAGGGAAAAAGTTTCGAACAAAAAATGTATGGCGCACTTTTTAATTGGTCCAGCGGATGCTGAGCTACACTCAAATAAATTTTGGAAAAATTTTCGGAAAATTAAATTTGCCAGATAATCATTCGGGAATATTGCGAAAAAAATAGGGAAAAAGTTTCGAACAAAAAATGTATGGCGCACTTTTTGATTGGTCCAGCGGATGCTGAGCTACACTCAGATAGATTTTTTAAAAAATTTCGAAAAATTAAATTTGCGAGATAATTGATCGGGAATACCGCCAAAGTCTTAACCCGGGAGTCTCGAACAAAAAATGTATGGCGCACTTTTTGATTGGTCCAGCGGATGCTGAGCTACAGTAAAAATCAAATTTGGAAAAAATTATAAAAAATTAAATTTGCGAGATTATCGGTTAGGAATACCGCCAATAAATCAGTCAAAAAGTTCCGCACAAAAAATGTATGGCGCACTTTTTGATTGGTCCAGTGGATGCTGAGCTACACTCAGATAAATTTTTTAAAAAATTTCGGAAAATTAAATTTGCCAGATAATCATTCGGGAATATTGCGAAAAAATAGGGAAAAAGTTTCGAACAAAAAATGTATGGCGCACTTTTTAATTGGTCCAGCGCATGCTGAGCTACACTCAAATAAATTTTGGAAAAATTTTCGGAAAATTAAATTTGAGAGATAATCTCTTGGGAATAATGCCAAAAAAATAGGGAAAAAGTTTCGAACAAAAAATGTATGGCGCACTTTTTAATTGGTCCAGCGGATGCTGAGCTACACTCAAATAAATTTTGGAAAAATTTTCGGAAAATTAAATTTGCCAGATAATCATTCGGGAATATTGCGAAAAAAATAGGGAAAAAGTTTCGAACAAAAAATGTATGGCGCACTTTTTGATTGGTCCAGCGGATGCTGAGCTACACTCAGATAGATTTTTTAAAAAATTTCGAAAAATTAAATTTGCGAGATAATTGATCGGGAATACCGCCAAAGTCTTAACCCGGGAGTCTCGAACAAAAAATGTATGGCGCACTTTTTAATTGGTCCAGCGGATGCTGAGCTACACTCAAATAAATTTTGGAAAAATTTTCGGAAAATTAAATTTGAGAGATAATCTCTTGGGAATAATGCCAAAAAAATAGGGAAAAAGTTTCGAACAAAAAATGTATGGCGCACTTTTTAATTGGTCCAGCGGATGCTGAGCTACACTCAAATAAATTTTGGAAATATTTCCGGAAAATTAAATTTGCCAGATAATCATTCGGGAATATTGCGAAAAAAATAGGGAAAAAGTTTCGAACAAAAAATGTATGGCGCACTTTTTAATTGGTCCAGCGGATGCTGAGCTACACTCAAATAAATTTATGAAAAATTTTCGAAAAATTAAATTTTCGAGATAATCGTTCGGGAATACCGCCGAAGTCTTTAGCAAAAAGTAGCGAACAAAAAATGTATGACGCACTTTTTGATTGGTCCAGCGGATGCT